GTCCATGATTCTGGCAAAAGCATTAGGAGAATCAGAGTTCAGGCAGCTGCTCTTCCCCTGAATCCTCTTCGTGACACCAGCCGTGACAAGTGGGGGCCTGACCGGAATGTGTGCGGACTGTCAATTAGCATTTCGTTAATCCCTTTTGTTTTGCCATTTGCAACATGTGATTCCCTTGGCGTTGCACTTTTAGTGTGTTTTATCAGCCGTTGTAACGCGTGTTCCCGCTGGTATTATTTTGATTGTGCAATTGACTTCATTACATCTCGGTCAGTTTGGTTATGCAATGCATTTCGGTGATCTCTGGTGTGTAAACAATTCTTTTCTTATGTTTGTGATTTGACTTTTTATGTTTACTTTAACTGTACGTTTCTTAGTGGCTTGAAACACAGGTTTTGCGATCACATTTATAATACATCCTATCTAGCTATTCACAACATCAAATATGTTATCAGATAAGGAAAAAATATTAATAAAGTAATCACTTTTCTAAGGAAGACAAAACCTATGACCCGAGATAGATTGATATAATGAATAGGATCCATTGGCTTGGTAACCTTGGCCACATACCGCTGGTTGACAGCCAAGAAATCCAACAAAGGAAAGGAAGGAAAAGCCGGGCTCTCTCGGGCGGCTGGCTCATCCAACAAAGGAAAGGAAGGAAAAGCCGGGCTCTCTCGGGCGGCTGGCTCATCCAACAAAGGAAAGGAAGGAAAAGCCGGGCTCTCTCGGGCGGCTGGCTCATCCAACAAAGGAAAGGAAGGAAAAGCCGGGCTCTCTCGGGCGGCTGGCTTATCCAACAAAGGAAAGGGAGAAAAAGCCGGGCTCTCTCGGGCGGCTGGCTTATCCAACAAAGGAAAGGGAGAAAAAGCCGGGCTCTCTCGGGCTTATCCAATAAAGGAAAGGGAGAAAAAGCCGGGCTCTCTCGGGCGGCTGGCTCATCGGATCACTGTGGCACGAGCGCCCGAACGCACTCGGCGCCTCCTTCGTGTGTTGTTCCGGAAGATAAGCATATTTCCATTTTTTACAGGAGGCCAGTTAGGATGTGTTATATGTATTATAACTTTTGAGAATATACAGACTGAGGGATCTCAGTTTGTTTTTTATCCTTAGTTTCGTTCTTTTACTTTTTATTTTTATTTTTGGTATATTTCTTATTAATTAACTTTAAAGAAGTATGGACACTAAATATGGTCAATGTAGAAGAAAAAGGATAAGTTAAGAGAAACAGACATGAAAAAAGAGAAATGGAAGCCAAAGTGAATTATTATAACTATATATATTTTTTTTTCAACTTGGTAATAAAAATAAACTGGAAGAAGTCGTAAATGCAAACCAAGGACTCCAGAGGCGTGGCGAGGGTGCGCTGCCCTCCGCCGCCCGCCCACCAGACCCCATGAAGCGGCCGCTGTTCGAAGGCCATCCTCTGCAAGGCCCGCGTTGTAGTCTTGCTGCAAAGTAGAGGCACGCTGCAACAGAACTATTCGCGGAAGAAAACGAAATGGAGGCTGTTGGTGTTGAGAACATTTACCGATTAGAAAATTCATTCGCGTTGGTTTTGCATTCATTGGAGATAGAGAATATAAGAATTTCAAAAAAATCTTTAAATGGTTATGTGCCACAAAGGTAATGAATAACTAAAAGAGAAATAAATTCATCCACACACTTTAAAACAACTATTTAAAGGGATGATATATCTTATTCATAGTTAAGAAAGGTCTTTCAAACTGCGAGTTTCGAATGAAAATCAAAGCTAGATAAAATCACTCTTCGATCTTCTCCGGATGTAAGTAGCTTGTACTTACCTTCTAGAGCAGGGACCTCGAACTCCATTTACCCGGGGGCCGCAGGAGGCAGAATCTGGGTGGGGCTGGGCCGCATCAGGATTTCCCCAAGAAAAGCGCTGATAAAACATTCCAATGTTCTCAAATATCTTTAATTTTAACACAAAAAAATAATAAAAAATATATCAATCAGTAATTTATAAATAAAATGTTAAGCTTCAGTTTAATTCGCGACGTGCCTGTATTAAATTTGTCGGAGTTTCTGAGAGGAACAAACACACAGCAGCTCTCTGAGCTCATCGGCCACGATGGAGATGGCTACAGACATGGCATAGGCTGGATGATAGATCACAGCGCCTTCGGAGCCTTTTACTCCACCGTGATTGGTTCGTTCAGCTCCGCTTACAAGGTTTATTCATATCAATCTTGCGGGCCGCACTAACATTAATCTTTAATATCAAGACGGGCCGCAAATTATCGTCCCGGGGGCCGCATTTGGCCCGCGGGCCGCGAGTTTGAGACCCCTGTTCTAGAGAATGATGAAGCTATTGATATACTCCAGTAAATACTACTAATAACATTGATCGGCACAAATATGGTCAGAACTTGGTAGTTTATGATATGATTTAGTGGCGATAAAATAAGTAAATTATCAAGAGAATTTTCTTTATCGTTTCTGTCGGCCATGCTGGCGGTTTGTTTACCGCTGTGACGTCATGAATCTGTGGCAAGCTTCCTCTGGAGGCAGTTTGGAAATGCTCGGTTTGGTTACGAAACCCACCCAAGGCACCCATCTGCAACATCGAGGTTTTTCAAGAAACATTTAAATATCTTACCGTCAAAAACAAGACTGTCCTTCTTTTTTAACTATATTTATGGATATAATACAAAAGTTGTCTTGTTCCTTATTTCATTTTCTACTCTAAATTTCAAGACTCGGAAGTTGGCGCAGGTTTCTTATTTTCATTGTTGAATTTTCACTGGCCTAGAAAATGTTCCTGAAAGTTTAATCAGAAGAAAATGGCGGCAATGAAGGCTACGGACGCCTGGCAGCTGCTTCTGCGTCGCTGCAGGCTCAGTGCTCGCGTGGGCGGCGTGGGGCTTGGACGCGCGGAGTGAAGTTCACCCAGTAACGTTTCTTCCTTTTTCCCTTTCCCTTTTTCGGCGCCACTCGTTCCCTCTCTCGGAGGAAGGACTCGTGAGGGACTCGGGACACGGAGGCTGAGGCCCTCGAGGGGAACCAGTCCTGCCTTGGCCCTCAACCCTCGCCTCGACTCAACGCTTGGGCCTTTCTTCTCCCCCTTCCTCTCCCTTCTCTTCTTTATCCCCTTCCTCTCCCTTCTCTTCTTTATCCCCTTCCTCTCCCTTCTCTTCTTTATCCCCTTCCTCTCCCTTCTCTTCTTTATCCCCTTCCTCTCCCTTCTCTTCTTTATCCCCTTCCTCTCCCTTCTCTTCTTTATCCCCTTCCTCTCCCTTCTCTTCTTTATCCCCTTCCTCTCCCTTCTCTTCTTTATCCCCTTCCTCTCCCTTCTCTTCTTTATCCCCTTCCTCTCCCTTCTCTTCTTTATCCCCTTCCTCTCCCTTCTCTTCTTTATCCCCTTCCTCTCCCTTCTCTTCTTTATCCCCTTCCTCTCCCTTCTCTTCTTTATCCCCTTCCTCTGTCCACTTTTCCTAATCGTTAACCGAGTTTCACTCTCTTCGCCACAAGAATTTCGCACAGTGCTATATGATGCAAAGTAGATTTATTAGTTTTGACCATTAACCACGGTAAGAGTAATAATAATAGCAGCAATTGTAGTGCTGATGAGGGTGGCGAAAACATCTACAATAATAGTAATAATGATATTGATGGTAATGATTATTATCACATTAATAAGTAAATATGATATCCAGCATGGGAGTGCGCGACCACTGATATTGCAGAATATTTTTGATGCGGGAAGTTAACAGCAGCCGGTTGTGATGTGTGGTGGACGCTGCTTTTTCTCTCCACAGGCGTTCAGCCACCAAGGAGTCAGTTAGTAGAAGTTGTCTCTCTCTCTCTCTCTCTCTCTCTCTCTCTCTCTCTCTCTCTCTCTCTCTCTCTCTCTCTCTCTCTCTCTCTCTCTCTCTCTCTCTCTCTTTCTAATCTGGTCCCCACCCATGGCTTTATTCGTGTCTAAATGATGAAGGATTTTCTTAACTTCGTCCACTTTAATGCTGATGGTTGCCAGTGTGGCTGTAGTGTGGAGAGGGACGATGGGGGAATTAGGTCGAGGTCAGGGAGACTCATTTTGCTTGCAAAGTGAGTGGCAAGTGCCAGGGCCTTTTCTGCAATCGTGGTTTTATCAGGCTTTGTTATTGGGGAATGGTGTTGCCCTGAAGCAGGCCTTGTTCCTTCTTTATCCAAGTCCACCAGACTTAATCACCAGCAATGCGACCAGACAGTTTCTGTTGTAGGTCATTTTCCCATTGTTCAAACGCCCTCTTTTACACGTATGTTCTTTCAGGCCATCTTGTGCAGATGTTTGTTGTAGTTGGTTGGATGTTGCTTATATTGACGCCAGGTTATACATTTCTGGTCAGCAGCAGTACGACACATAACCAAACCATGGCTGATCTCCTGCTTTGTATTTGTATCTCTGACTGGGTATATAATGTCTCTGTAGTGTAAATAAGACGTCATTAATAATGGATACCTGGCCATTGATATCTCCACTCAATATTGTATCCCAGTTCACCTGTCTTAGCTGGTGGTGCACACTGGCCCATTTGCCTTGATTCCAGAGCCAGTTTGTTCTAATTGCACTTTCCTCTTGATCCATTTCCGAGATCACCTGTGTGTGAACAGCAAAGTGGTCGGAGGAACCAGCAGTCCCCAGTTGGCTACCTGTAATTATGTAATCAGATGAGGAATATGTAAAACATATGTAATATGTAATCAGGTGAGGAACCTGCAATGTGGAGGGCAAAATCCACATAGTTTGTCAACCCATGCACTATCAGCAACTCATCAAATGTCCTGGCGACAAGATACTAGTTTAGGTCGCCGACAATGATTGCATGACTGCATTCATGTGCTTGTAGGAGAGCATCCACGTGTGGCTGCAGATGAGGGGCTCTCGGCCTTGCCACTGGGGCCTGTGGCACACGCACATCAGAATGGGTGATTCTCCGTGAATCTTAAGGAGCATCACTTCCAGATAACCAGGGATGCCCACATCACCTGAACCGTGAGGTTATCACGAAAACAGACAGCGATGCCACCAAAGGTGCCAACCGCCCTGTCGCGTCGGTGCCAGCGTGTGTAACCGTCCACTTCCCCGAAGGTAGCAGGGACATCAGGATTGAGGAATATCTCAACAGTAGCAATGATGTCAGAGTTATGTGGGATTATAAATCTAAACGTTAAATCCCCTATATTCGTCTGAAAACCCTTGACATTGGCTGATATGATGGATAGGCTACTTGGCATAGCATAGGGCCAGGTGTATGTGCGCGTATTTAGATGCCAGCGATGCCGCGTGCGATACACCTGTTGACTGCTAATGAGGCGTTAAGAATTTGTTTAATGACTGAATCAAGGGGGATCTCTCTCTCTCTCTCTCTCTCTCTCTCTCTCTCTCTCTCTCTCTCTCTCTCTCTCTCTCTCTCTCTCTCTCTCTCTCTCTCTCTCCCTCCCTCCCTCCCTCCCTCCCAATCTCCGTGGAATCCCCAGTCCTTATCTCTTGCGGGTGCATCCTGCGAAGGACGGAGCGATTATGGCGCGTCTCTTCCTGTTGTTGTTGTGTTATATTTTCTTGCAATCATTCATGTTGGTGTTCGGATTATTGATCTATTTGTTAATATTATCTCTTAGTTATTATTGTCATGATTCTCTATATATGTGGTAAATGGGTTGTTGATTTTATGACGGATATCTTGTTGTTTATATTATCAGCACTATTATTGTTCATATTCTTTTAGTTTCGTTGTCAATAATAGTTGTTACTGCTTTTGTTGTTTCTTTTTAGTATTACAATTATATCATTGTTGTTTTCATTCATATAATAAGCCTAATCGTTGTCCGTGTAACTGGAATTACCATTACCATTTACTGTTACCATTATCAACATTATTATTATTATTATTATTTATCATAATTACCACAGTTGTTATCATTATTATTATTATTATAATTGTTGTTGTTACTGTTGTTGCTGTAGGTGTTTTTATTATCATATATCTTTATTAATATTATTATTATTATTATTATTATTATTATTATTATCAGTATCATTATTATCATTATTATTATTATCATTGTTGTTATTATTATAATTATTATTATTATAATTATTATTATTATTATTATTATTATTATTATTATTATTATTATCATTATCATTATTATCATTATAATTATTATTATTATTATTATTATTATTATTATTATTATTATTATTATTATTACTATTATTATTATTATCAGTATCATTATTATCATTATTATTATTATCATTGTTGTTATTATTATGATTATTATTATTATAATTATTATTATTATTATTATTATTATTATTATTATTATTATTATCATTATCATTATTATCATTATAATTATTATTATTATTATTATTATTATTATTATTATTATTATTATTATTATTATTATCAGTATCATTATTATCATTATTATTATTATCATTGTTGTTATTATTATAATTATTATTATTATAATTATTATTATTATTATTATCATTATCATTATTATCATTATAATTATTATCATTATTATTGTTATTATTATTGTTATTATTATTATTATTATCATTATTATTATTATTATTATTATTATTATCATTATTATTATTATCATTATCATTATCATTATCATTATTATTATTATTATTACCTTTTTCTTGTTATCATTATTATTACTACTATTATTGTTGTTGTTGCTGTTGGTGTTATTGTTATTATTGTTATAATTTATATAATCATTATTATTTTACATCCGCGCACACGCAAATAGACGCCCCCTCGCGCGCGCGCATTCAGCATTCGCCCTTCGCTTCCCTCGCCCAACGCGTACACGGACTGGCGATTTGGATGGCGTACATATGCATGGTGGTTCTCCCCTCCTGCGGCCACTTCCTTACATTCGCCTTCGCTTCCCGGTGCGTGTTTGCAGGCGGAGAGTGGGCGCTCCTGTTGCTGACTATTTCTCGTGTTGTTCATGTTCACGAATGCAAAGGAGCGCCCAAGGCTGACTGAGCTTTCGTTACTAGTCCTTTGCTCTCGCTGCCTCGGAGGGCAGGAACAAGGAGCTGATTTCTCAACTTCCTTCTTCCGCTGCGAGAACCTCCGCGGGATCCACGATCGGCATTTGGCACCGAAACGGATGTCATTTCAAGGTCTATCGCGGCAGCAATTATACGGTGTGTGTGTGTATAATATATATATATATATATATATATATATATATATATATATATATATATATATATATATATATATATATATATATATATATATGCGTATATATATATATATGCGTGTATATATATATATATATATATATATATATATATATATATATATATATATATATATATATATATATACATATATATATATATATACATATATATATATATATATATATATATATATATATATATATATATATATATATATATATATATATACATATATATGTATATATATATGTATATATATATATATATATATATAT